CAAGCCGGGACATTCCGAGCGGAACTGCTCCAATTCCTGCAAGTACTTCAGCGGGCCCTCGGCGCGTGAGAACGCGCAAATGTTGAGGTATTCGAGCGCCATGAAGAAAGCATGCAGACGGTTGAACAGAGTCGTGACATCGGTGACCGGCTCGGGTTGATCAGCCTTAGAGATGGACAGGAGATCTTCGGCGTTCCGAGAAAGTCCAGACTTGACCACTATAACATCCGAGCGGGTCCTGATCTCGGCCGGCTCGTAGAATGGAACTATCCCATGGATCAGGAAATCGCGGGACAGCCGTTCGACGAACTTCTTATGCGGCTCTTTGGCGTCGATCAGGATGACGTCGGGGTGAACCCTCACGAAGCGATCGCGAAACTCCGCGTGGTCCTCTTGGGAGAGCTCCGGGATCTTGTTCGGGTCTTCCTCCATACGAGCTCGCCGAGAGGCGTATTGCGTTTGCAGCGCTTGAGCAGCTTGCCACACCGCTGCCAAGGACATCACGGAGAGCTCCTGTGCTGCCGCATCAGCCCCGAGCTGGGTCAAGTCATCTTGCCACAGCCGGCGGATTGTCGCCTTCGCCGAAGTGAGATCCTGCCCCAGCATTGCGAACATCTCGACTGTGAAGAGACCTTTGTCGGCCGAGAGCCTGCAGAGGGCCGGATCTAGCCCCTGTCTCCCGAAGATCTGGCGCAGGTTCAGCTTCGGGGTCGCCGCCTCATTCGCGTATGCGGTGCGATCGACCATGGCTGCCTAACGAGCTGTCTGAAAAGAAAAGCTACGGTCAGGGAGAGGCTCAGCTCGAGTGGCCATTCGTGACTGCGAACAGCTGTGTTCACGGCTCCGTAAAGATCTTACCGGAACACAACGAGCACATCTGAGTACTCGGCGGAATCTCGCCGAGATCCTCGCACTCGGTGATCGCGTACCGGCCGCAGAGCGTTCGCTCCGTGCCCGTACCATCTATATACATGGCATGATATTTAAGACTCAGATCCTTTGAGGACCCCGCAGCCGATCTAGCCTTGGTGACATAGGTCAGAGCGAGATCACCGAAGTCGACCAGATTGGTATCGTCGGCCTCGAACTCCGGTGGAGATTTCCAGTCGGATGCTATCCTCTTCGTGAGCCGCTTGACCATCTCGATCGAGATCTCTTTGCGGCTCCGAGCGTACTTCAGGACCAGCTGGCTCGGATCCTTCCAGTTCGCTTGGAGCCCGATCTCTTTATCGGGCTCCTGCGCCTGGACCGCCGCCGAGAGCAGCGTGACTCGGCAGGAGTGCCAGGTTCTCCGGCACGATCTTCAGGAGCTCCTTGAGCCGCTCGGGCGAGATGTGCCCGCGCTTCAGATCGTCCGAAGCTGCAGTAGTGAGCACGTACCGCAGCCACAGGATGCTCCGTTGGTAGCTGGCAGGCCGATCGGCGAATCGCTCAGCCGATTCGAGCTCTTTCATGAAGTAGTCGCGATCGTCCATTTCGAACGCAGCTGCGTGCCATCCGTCTTCCATCCAGTCGGATCCGGAGACGGAGACTCTGGCCGCCGCGAACCGCGTTCCCTTCTTTTGTCGCTCGACCTTAGTCTGCCAAACCACCCCATAGAGAGCCTCGTCCTTCAGGGCGAGCGCCTCGGGCACGACGTGGAGCGCGTCGTCGAACCTGAGGGACGAGTAGATCATCACGAGAACCCACCATGCGAAGAACGCCATGGGGAATTGGCTCGACTTAAAACGAGCGCACACGAACCGCTCGAGCGCCGCCACCAAGATCAGAGGGATGGGAACCGCTTCCCTCGTCTCTTTCCCGCGATCGCCATAGACCTTCTTCTGCAAGGCCATGATCCGGGGATCGAGGAGGTCGGGCAACGACAAGCCGATCCGCTTGCAGATCCATTTGACCGCCCCACGTACCGAAGGTATCACGGTGGGGCCGCAACCTCGGTCGGAGAGATCTAAGAGGTACTTGACGAGCACGTCGGTAGTCAGCGGGATCACCACTAGGTTCTGCGACCTCGCCCAAGTCTCAATCCTCTCCCAGTGACGAACGCACTGCTGGATAGTGCGGAAACCGCCACTCTCGAAGACGATCAACCTCAATGCATTCATCTCATCTTGAGACAGGGGTGATCCCGGCTTCGGGTTGCCCGCGATCGCGGCGTGCTCGCCGCACCTCTCCACGATCGCTTTCAGCCTCATGCCCCACTTTCGGGCCTCGCCGAGCTCACGGGTTTTGAGCGATGCCTGCGGATCTTCAGGCCTCGGCTCGATCGCCCGCGGCCTCTTGGCGAGCGGCAATGGCATAGGAGGCTCCTTGCCAGTCCCCTTCGACTTCAGTGGCGATCGCCCAAAGACGACCGGAGCTTCAGCCAAGCCGAATCCCAGATCAGTGGCCAGATCAGCCCAGCCCGCTGCTGCCGTGCTACGAACCAGCACAAACAACAGCTCGATCGACGGGACCCACCTGCCGAGCTCCTCCTCGTTCTTCCGCCGATCTGGCGTGTGGAGTTCCTCGAGGGCAGGGACAAGATCAATGAATGCTTGCACACACTCAGCGATCGTCCCGTCCGAAACAGCCGTGAGCTTCTCGAACTGAGCCATCCGAAGATCCACCAACCATTGGCAAAATTCATCCCCGAACAGGGGGAGGGATAGGATCTTCCGAACGGACCTATCCATGCTGGGCCTGAACAGCTGCACGAACGATCGCACGTGCCTGCTAATGGTAACCGAGCGCCGTGCCTGAGACAGGTATTGATCAATCTCACTTCCGGCAGAACATGCGCTGGGATCTAGCGCGCCGAGAGGATCGCTCGGCATGTTTGTTCCGCGGAAGAGCCCGGCTGATCCGCCAGGAGGCTTCGGTCGCGCGGCGCACCACTCTCTTAGGAGCGTGCACAAAAACCGACCATCACCTAGGCTTCGATCGACAACTACTCCGAATTGTCCATCGTGTAGGGCCCCGTTGACGATCTGGCCGGCGGGTAAGCCGGGGCGAACGCCTTCGGCACCGTGGTCGTAGTGGAGGGGGAAGCCGTGATCTCTTGGCCCGTCTCCTCCACCCTGACCGTGCTGATCCGCTCGTACTCCGCCTGCTCACGGTGCTGGAGCACGTCGGTGAAAACCTGAGGCGTGATCGCAGCCGACGTGCGCGAGAATCGCATGTCGGCCCTCATGCGATCGCGGGCATCGGTGACGACCTCCTCGGCGATCTGCTCCTGGCCGAGCTGGCCCTCCTCCGGCACCGGAACAGTGCTCACCCTCTGGTCGAACACCTGCTGAGCCGAGGTGGGCATGTTGGAGATCGCCGAAGTGACCGAGGAGCCCAGCTGCTGAACCGCCTGCCGAGCCGCCTCTTCCATGAGAGCCGGGGGGCCATTCCGAGCTCGAACGGCGTTGTTCTCATCGTGCGACCGGTGGGCGAGCGCCTCCTGCCGGACGAACTCCAGTGGGCAGACCCTGAGCTTAGATCTAGCCCGTACGTGGAAGTTCCCATGATCCATCGGGAACTCGTCCGTCGCAGTTCCCACTTGCACCTGTTCGTTGGCGAACGCACTGTGGTACCAGGGGGCGATCACCGCAGACAGCTGCGCGAACTGCTGGATGTGGTCTGGACCTTCCACGCGAGCACGCTGGTTCCGACAGGCCTGGATCGTGCTGATCAGAGCGGGGCCCGAGATGTGGCTGACTGTGAGCCACGTGCCAGGCACCGAAGTCCTCCCGCACTTGAGATCGATCCGGTTATTGGCGTCCCGGAACCGAAACTCAACACGATCGGCGTCGTTCCCATAGCCTTCTCGGGACGAGCGTTCTGTCACCCTGAGCTCACAAGTGCTCACGGCATGGTCGCTCGCCATCACTGCTCCTCTCGGGCCGATCGTGTAGACTCGGGCTCCAACCTCGAACGAGGTCACGGAGACCTTCCATCCAACGAAGACCGAGATGACGATCGAGGGTCGGAACCATCCTTCGTTGGCTGACCGGATCAACACCTCGTCGCAGAACTGCTGCTGGACAGAAAGATCCGAGTCCGAGCGGTAGCCCCTGAAGACCCAATGGAACAGGACCTCGTTTCCATTGAAGACCTTCACATCCACATAGGTGGCCGAGGTATCGAACATCACCGGCCAAGTGAAGGGCTGGAAAGCCGGGTGCGATAGCGCCCGACTCGCGTAGGAGTCCCACTGAGCACATGGTCCCCCGGTCATCGCGGTTGTCGATGACGAGGAGCGAGTTCTGGGTCTCGTCCTCTTCCTCGACCACGAGCTGGCGAACGAACTCAGGCCGCTGAACAGCGAAGGGGTTGTGAGCAGCAGGAGCCCCACGGTCACGACGTCCACGACGATCGTCGCGACCCCAGCCTCCAGAGCCCCAATCGCCGGATGCGGCAGCTGGAGCCGCGGGATTCTCGGGAGCCTCTGCCTCGCCTGGAACGTAGTGTCCCCAGTTACCCGGATTCTCAGGCTGACCAAGCCGGCGAGGCAACCCGAACTGTGGGGCCATCGGAGCCGCCATCTGCCGACCTTGATGGAAGCCAGCGGGAGGGAACGACATGGCTGCAATCGAGCGAGCCTATTCACTTCCACCTCCCACGCCGAATTTTTCGGTATGGCCCGATCGGCTATCGCCAAAATGGCCACGGAGAAGATAGATCAAGTCTGTTCCAACGATCGCGAAACTGATCTCCTAATTCCTACCCACCAGACCGATAATTAGGAGACATCAGTACATTGCATTGCATTATACTACATTGTATTACATTATGCTACAATATACTACATTATATTACATTATACTACATTATACTACATTATATTACATTATATTACATTATATTACATTATATTACATTATATTACATTATATTACACTATATTACATTATATTACATTAGCATTACATTATAATGCATTATATTACATTATGTTACATTATACTACATAACATACATACACACACATACGTACATACAAGCTCTTCATGTCGGGGACAATCTCAGCTTCCGGCTATTGGCAGCTGCAGCGACGAGGCCTGGAAAGAACACGACAAGGATACTCATAGTAGGAGTGGTCATAGAAGCCCTGAGAGTACTACGGTTGATGATATAAATCCTGCATGACCCATATTAAGGAATATACCATAATTCCCAGAGTTTAGGGTCCTTAAGGTAATGCAGGATTTACATCATCAACGTATCAATAACAATCATAATGATACTTGGCGATCTTCTGCTGGCACGCAGTGAAAAAAGCTCTCGGCAACATGCATCAACTTCCACCACGCGCTTGGGCCTGCGAGATCCGATACACCTGCCAGCAACCCGAGAGTTTCTCATAGGGCTGAGGGTTTAGGGCCTTGGGTTTGGGGTATTTAGGGTTTAGGGTTACGGCTAAGGCCATGTGCGCCTCGAGCAGTTGCGGTGTCAGCCGAGTGTAGGCCAGAAGCGTGTCGGTGCTGATGTTGTCGGCTTGTGGCGGCTGTGGTGCGCCCTGCCTCAGAGTATCAGTTTAGGGTTTAGGGTCTACCTCATGACATCTCACAGCAAATCTGGAGCCCCGACAGTCGACGCCCGGCATCACTGACATTCACGGCCTCAGCCGAGCAAGGGGTGCACCTGAAATGTAATGAACGGACCGTTGCCGGCTCCAAGATCCTGGCAACGAGTTGGGAGACGCCCATTATGGAGGATACCAGAAATCCCTGGCTGTCGAAACACAGCACCTGGTAGAAGGAGTCCTGTCACAGTGCAGAGCCATGTCTACGCAGAGTCCTTTCTGTGGTTGAAGTCGCAAACTGCAGCGACTGAGATGGGAGTCTCCGAAAATAGGGGACCCTAACATAGTACCTTAAAGATTATAAGAACACCAAAACTAAGGTACCTCTAATTTTCGGAAACTCCCATAGTCCAAAAGCTCTAAGCAAAGACGACGGCGGCCCGTCCCTGGTGGCATCGCACTCCAGCAGCAAGAGCTGTATTTCCGTGTTTACCTGTCCTCGGCTAGCGGCCGATTTAGGGTGCATAGCCGCTGTAAGGAAACCCTTGTCATCGTTATAAGAATCTAATCTAGTCGTGGTAACTGCACCTAGTGGTGCATTGCCAGTACATCTGGCACCCCTCTGTGATGAGCCTACATCCTCTCTGGTGTTCATGAGTTTACGAGAAGCTGGATGGACCGGGTTCCCACAAATGCAGTACACGCCCAAGAACTGTTAGGCAGTTGCTAAAAGCGGGGGATTGCATGGATTACCTTGTCTCGAGTTACAATCCTAGGCTCTAGCAGATTTACTATGTCGGGATCCTTTACATATTCTAGTATAGCATCGCTTTCACTCCAGGGGTTTAGGGCCTGGGTGTAGGGCTTAGCCCCTATCAGCCTCACCTCTAGAATGGGGTGCGGCTGGCGGCACTGAAAGGCGGCGCAACTGAATTCGCGAAGAGAATATCCTCCAGCTCGTTTGCAAGCTTCACTGTCCTCGGTACGAATGTCAAGTCTCTGGAACAGAGGCTATTTGATACCTTGCCGTGACATGCCGAGTCTTCGTCTTAGGGCTTTTTGTTAGGGCTTCGGGATTGGCATGCTGGATGTCTGTCCATACTTGAACCACGGGTCAAGGCCATTGCAGCCGCTGCAGCTTGAGCAGCAGACAGAGAGGGTTCCATCTTGTAACGACCTTAGGTATCAAAAGTGTCCCTAAACCCTGAAACCCTAAAACTCAAACCCTAAACCGCTAGCACGCAGCAGCCATGGACTTGTGGCAAGGAGCTCTGGTATGCAGCTGCGAAGGCTTCTCTGGTCACTGAGGTGTCGCAGGATTGAATAGTACATGGCCTGCAGGAGAACTTCAGTAGATCACAGCAGCATTGTAAAGTATAGTATACTGTCGTATAGTAGAGTACAGTACAGTACAGCAAAATATACGACTGTGTAGTATAATAGTATATCGTACCGTATGTAAAGCATGGTGCAGTAATATACAACATAGTACCATATCAGTTGAAAAAGAGCTCCCACTTCTCTCTTGTGCCGAGAAGCTCGATCCTGGAACTCCTGAGTCGAACATTGCAGGGCGAATCATGTCCAACTCGATGCAAACCTATACTACAATACATTTAGTAAAACAAAACATATGACAGAGATATTGTACTAGTTTATATACCAGATTGTGCTATACTTTACTGTTCTATACTATACTACACTAGACTGTACCTAGAATGTCCTATACCATACTCTACTCTACTATACGATACTAATCGATAGTGTTATGCTGTACTGTACTGTACTATTCTGCGTGAGAATAGACGATACTATACGATACTACGAGATACAATACGATTCTAGGCGATACCATACGATACTCCATGGTACAATAATCAAGCACGGTACGCTGCTCTACTATACCGTATTGCACTGTACTGTACCGCGCTACACTACTCGACGCCACGCTACGCCACAATAGACTAGGCGAGACTAGATGATGCGGTACTATTCTATCCAATCCAAAGGGA